TTCCAGAGTTTCACTGTAATCTGCCGCAAACCGCATGTGGCTAGCTCAATTTGTTTGCGCACCACAATTTTTCAAAACCAGGAAGGGACTTTGTGGACACACTGTATTTCCATGTCTTAGAAACCTTAAAATGTGAAAAATTTGCAACAGACCAAGCCACTGTGTGCAATGTAAGAACTTTAGAAAAGTGTGAGAATCTGACAAACAAATATGTTTCATGAGATTTGAGAAGCTCACACAGCTAAAGATGCCAATGTTAGTCTTTTAGACTGAAACACCATGTGAACTTGTAGGTAGATACCAAACTTTTGGAGGAATATGCTGCCTCCATCTTCAAGCCTTCAGTCCTGAGGCAGTAACTACCTTCAAGGCCTTGTGGCATTACAACAAAGAAAACAATAATGAACAGGTATATTTTATAAGTATATGTCCACAAAGTTATATTTATTGCTAAATAATTATTATTTCTAAAACAATTGTATTACGAAAATTTCAATAAATTATTTGTTTTATTAAAGGCAACTTCCAATTGAAACATTTTTTGACTACTCTATGCTTACTGAATTTTTTTTAAAAAGGACTTTATAAAAAGTGGGTGTTTGTTGCAAAATTACAATTGCTTAATAAATTTTAACGAGAACTTATTAACAAATCAATTAAAATCTATGCACAGCAGTGTGTATACATATAGACGGACAGATAAATATTACAAAGTTAAAAGGTGCTCACGTATAGTGAAATGGGCATAAAAAATAATAGAAAAGGTCATCAAATTTTTCCCCAGAATCTACTAAAGGAAACCATTCCCAGGGTTAAAATGACAGATTTTTAAATTTAAGTATGAAATTCTCTAAAAATTAAAAATTCAATCACACTTCACTTGTTCATTTAAACGGACATCAGAAGTAACTACTTTTGAAGCATGTTCACAAACTTGTTATCACTAATGAACCTTGCAACAACATGAATGTTGGTATTATATCATAATTCCTATTATTATTATTCCTGTTTTTTGTTCTTACCGTACATAATGTTTTTTATTCTGTATTTCAGTGTAACAAACTTTGGCACAACAAAATTATTTTGGTGAATCAGAAGTTTGTTGCTATTATATTCTAATGCACGCAACACATATTCCATATACTTTTTGTTACTTCACACAAACTTCTTTCATCCTCAATTTCGCATACGTTCCGAATGAATCCGTTGTTTTCATCGTACATGCATTATTCCTGCTTCTACCGCGTAACTGACGATAAATATAGAATCACAACCTGTTTTTTTTTGTGTGTATCAATTGACTTATCCTGCTTCATAATGTCACATAATGTCTAAATTAACATACAAAGATGGTTTGTCATCTACGACATAAAATATAAGAACAAGTTGTTTCACAATTTAAATGCTGACGTTTGTTATTTATTCATAACAGTAATTTTTGTTTCCTTGTTGAATGACTTAACTTGATTACTTCCAGCAGAAACTTAATATTCGTGGCCCTATTTTGAAGACGCAACAAAATTCTGATTTATAAACAATGAATACACAACATTCATGAGATGAAACGGGTTCATAAAAGCAATAACATAACAGTGTGGATTAGAATCATGCTTCCCATAAGTAAAATTACGTGAGGTGGAACAAAGATTACCACAGATACCGAGTCGGTGCTTGCTGTCACAGACTGCGGTATTTTGAAGGAGCAGCATAACAGAATGTGGAAACATCAAACATTCAAGTATTGATGTAGATCAGTAACTTATTACATAAACAGTAATGAAACTATCTAATACTATTAAACTAGGTATTTTAAACTTTCTTTAAAATTCAAAATGCAAGGCATTTCTAAGCTCTTGCACATAAATTAAATTGTATCAAAATATGTTAAAATA